TGGGCAGGGACATTTTCCACTAGACCAGGTTACTCATAGCCCCATCCAACCTGGCCTTCAACACTGCCAGGGAGGGGGCAGCCACAGCTTCTCTGGGCAACCTGTGCCCGTGCCCCAACACCCTCACAGTGAAGAATTTCTTCCCAATATCTAATCTGAGTCTCCCTCTTTCAGTTTGAATCTGTTCACCCTTGTTCTGTGACTACAATCCCTGATGAAGAGTCCTTTCCCACCTATCCTGTAGGCCCTCTTTAAGCTCTGGGACGCCACTCTAAGGTCTCCCTGGAGCTTCCTCTTCTCCAGGCTGAACAACGCAATCTCATCAGCCTGTCCTCATCTTTGTGGATCTTCTCTGGACCCACTTGAGCAGGTCCATCTCTTTATTATGCTATGGAAAACCAGAGCTGAACACAGCACTGCAGGTGGTGTCTCACGAGAGTGGAGTAAAGGGGCAGAATCTTTACTAAGGGTGCACTCCATCCCGTCGTCCAAATCATTGAGAAAGATCTTAAACAGGAGTGGCTTCCATATACCTAAACTTAAAAGGAAGCCCTGCTTACGCTTCAATGTCTTCCCCCTACCATGTGGCTGTTCACTGGCATTTAACACATTACTATTGGGAAAGCTAACATGGATTTCAGTGCCCTCAAAGGATAAAAATCAACTCCAGTTACCAGCATCTTGCTTGAATTTTGCAGCTCCTGCACTCTGCAGTGAAAGAGGACGGTGCCTCCCCTGACTGTGCTTTGTTCAGCACACCCCTCCACCTGAGCATCAGAGGACACACTGGGACAGCAGCACCCAGATCATGAATCCTGACACCAACCAGACATAGGACACTCACTAAATCACAACATTGCCCACTGCAGAAAAGCATCTCCTTTGCTTGTCTCATCCAACACAGCTCTTCTGAACAGAAATTCAAATACTGAAGACTGACACTGATGCCAGGTAAGGGAATACACAGCACATTTACATTCCTGCACCTGCCCTGCTCTGAATAGGAGCAGCACCAAAATCCCCCCCCCCCATCCCCAGCTCTATAAAGCTCCTGTTTCCATACGGGACACCCAGGGAACGGCAGCTGCCAGCCTGCGCTAAGCATTGCTCCAACAACCTGCTTTTCCGGCACAGCACCGCTACCCGTCTTGGAGGATGGAAGCTTGTTACTCTCAAGATAAACTTAATATCACTTCATACGATGCCGTGGCTATCGTCACCATCACACTGCAGGCATTTGCTGGCATGTGGATAAATGCTTTCATTGTTTCTGTGCTTTGTCTTGCTTGGCTCAAAAAGAAAAGCTTTAACTCTAATGAGAAGATCTTGCTGTTCCTGGGGTGCACCAGGTTTTGTTATCTCTGCATCACGTGGCTATATTCCTTTCTTTCAATAATTTATCCCTTGTGCTTTTATGTTCACCCCATACCACAACTCCTTACAGCTATTCAAAACTTTTTCAATTGTTCCAACTTGTGGGTTACTGCCTTTCTTTGTGGGTTTTATTGTATAAAAATTGCAAATTTCAGGCACATCCTCTTCATCTACCTGAAAGTCAAAATTGACAGGATCGTGCCATGGCTCTTGCTGGGTTCAGTGCTTTTATCCCTCGTCATCTGCATCCTTACCTATGACGTCACTAATGTAACGCTCAGTACCAATTCCACCACCCTAGGAAATTTGTGGAAACTGAATGTCATAATGGATGAACATTCGTTCCCTATTTTTTTTATCATTGGCTTTGTGTTTGCCACTGCCTTCGTGATAGTAATCGTTTCTGCCCTCCTCCTCCTCTTTTCTCTCTGGAGACACAAACGCAGGATGCAGACAACCTCAGTGAAGAACCTCAGCATGGATGCCCACATCAAAGCCATGAAATCGATTCTCTACTTCTTCCTCATTTACAGCATTAACTTTACATATTTGGTCTTGTCACTGATTTACTCTGCAAACAATGAAAATCTTGTGGCAATTCTCGTTTTACTATTTCAGTATGCCTTACCGGCTGTTCATTCCCTTATTCTGATTTTCAGCAATCCCAAACTGGAAAAGACACTGCTGAGGACTCTGCCTCGTGTGAAATGTAAGGTTTGCATGAGGTAGGAACTGTAATAAAAGCTGGAGCCCATCAAAAATGTCCGTATTTTATTATATAAAACATCATTTAATCGCTAAAGCAATACTCCAACAAGTGCAGATGGTACAGATGTTCTGTTTTCTACACCTGTGTTAAGAAAACTTCCTTAAAGATCTTTGAACTAAATTAGTATGAGTTAAATAAACTATGATCATCATTTGATTTAGATAACTCTCTGAGTTAAATTACCGTCAATAACAAAGTAATTCAGACCTGGTACATGGGCTAGCTGCAAACGGGAATAACAACACTGCCGACCTTCTAAAAATGCTTTGGTATTTGCTGACTGGAACTACTTAAGCAAACAACCTGTTTATACCTATTTTGATTTACATGCTGTTCTGCTGTGGCTGTGTACTTTGTCATATTATGAGTTGTAGCACTACCTTGCACTGGTTGATAGCTTATGCGTGAATATGTTGATCACTATTATTCACCAGAGGTGGTTACTGACTTGTAAACAGCAATGCAGAACTGGCCTTGGGGTGGACAGGTCAGCCTTACGTGTCCTCTTGCTGCCCCACTTCATGCAAAAACATCATTTCTCCTGCTCTGTGTGACGACCCTCCTGGTCTCCTTTCACTTTTTTACGAGATCGGTTTTTACCAATGGACTCTGGCTCAGGAAAGCACCAAGGAAGGTGGGGTTTGTGCAAAGTGTGCTATGGAATAAAGTCACGCATTCATCTCGCAGTGACCCACGGGCAGATGTAGGGGGTGTTCATGCCAGGTGCTGGGCAGCCGGGGCGTCCAGGGGGATCCCTGTGAGCCAAGCCCAAGGCTGCCTTGTGCCAAGGAAAGACAGTTCCAGCCGGCTCCAATGGACCCTCCGCAGGACACAGCTCAGCCCTTCAGCGGTGCTGGTGGCTCCTTGCAGAAAAGATGTTTAAGAAAGGGCAAAACCACTGCTCGGCATGCATTCTGTATAGAAACACGACCATGGTGATGTAGGCTGCCCCCCTGCAACCCTGGGAGGACCATGGTGGAGCACATATCTACACTGCAGCCTGCAGAGGACCCCACCCCAGAGCAGGCAGACATGACCTGAAGGACTGTAGCCCATGGAAAACCCACACAGGAGCAGACTTGTCCTGAAGGATTTTATCCCGTTGAGGGATCCCACACTGGAGCAGGAGAAGAGCATGAGGAAGAAGGACTGGCAGAGACAACGTGTCATGGACTGACTTTAAGCTCCATTCCCCATCCCCCTGCACTGCTCGGGGATGGATCTAGAGGAGCCGGGAATGAAGGAGTGAAGTTGAGCCTGTGAAGAAAGGGGAGGTGGAGGAAAGGTGTCCTAGTTTTGTCTTTGTTCTCACCATCCTACCCTAGTTTCAACTAGATTTAAATAAACTAAATTGATTTTCCCCAAGTCGGGTCTGTTTTGTCCATGATGGTAACTGGTGATGGATCTCCTTGCCCTTATGTTGACCCAGGAGCTTTCCACCTTACTTTCTACCCCTGTCCCGTTGACGAGCAAGAGTAAAGGAGCGGCTGGGTGGGGGTCTGACAGCTGGCCAACGTCAAACCATCGCAGTAGATTATCTGAACATGCCATAGTTTCAGCAAGAACAGAGCAGGACCTGAATTCTTCATTTCTTTCACCAGCTCTGGGCCAGAGAGATGTCTTACCTCATGCCAAGTGCCAAGCGTGCATTTTTCATGCATCTCGGCAGCTTTGGTTTCTGCTTTTGTTTTGAAAGACTCGCTCCAGAGAAGCACATCTGTCAGGTGTGGAGCCCAAACCTCAGAGGCCTCCTGAAGCTCTGCAGAATTCTGATACATCCAAAACACTCTCTGGGGAGTCACCTCAGGTGTAGCACCAGCCCTGCTGCACAGGGATTCCCTCTATCAGAAACTGCTGAGCTTTCCCTGGGCTGCATTTTAGAGAATGACCTTGAATGTGTTTCTATAGCAGAAGGCTTCACAGACCTTCTTTTCCCCCAATAAAGGAGATGTGGTCAACCTGGAGGACATGACTGTGAAGGACTCAGGAATTTCTATGTCCTCTCTCTTAGAAATCAAGCTAGAGGAAGAGTTTCCGCTCAGAGAACATGAGTGTCATCCCAGGAAGCTAATTTGAAAGCACGAAGGCAAAAAAGCTCAGACTGTAAGCTTTTTATCTTAACGGTTGCCTTCTCCATGGGCAAAAGAGCACACCCTTCCCTCTTCATCTCAATCCCCACAAAATCAAAAGGGGAAGAGGTTCAGAAGAAAGTTTCAGACAGTGCTTTTGAACCATTATCTTTCACCCTTTTCTGGCTGTTTGCCTTTAGCTGCAATTCCAATCAGACGACAAACTCCACCGAGTCTCACTTCCACAGCAGGAGACACTCTTCCCCACCCGCATTTCCCAGCGGAGGCACATCGTAAACATCTCCTCCGGACACACATCCACAGCTGACAGGCCACCACACCTCCCTTCTTTCCCTGCCGTTGCTCAACGCAGTTCATCCTTTAGCATAACCACTTTCACAAAAAGACCATGACAAATCCTTCTTACTCCCCACACCCCATGCCACATCACCCCTCAAAAGACCACGTACCACAAGACCCAACAGGCAAAACCAACATCTTACAGATGTTCCCACACTAAAGAATGCAGCCCCAGCAGAACACACTGAAGACACCTTCCTCTCCCTCCATGAAAGCCCTACAAACACGGCGCCCAACACTCCATCATCATCTCCCCAGGCACCAGGCCCACTCGGCTGGCACTGCACGAGACAGGTTATAAAACACCATGGCCACAGTGCACAGCCCATATGCTAAAGTGGCTCTCTGGAGAGATGAAATGGTGTGCCCAGCCCTGGGGAAAATGTTCCTCAACCACAGGACACTCCACCAGCTGCCCTCAGGGCTAGAAACAGGCCTGGCTGGTTTACCAGCATGGCAATAGGCACTGACTCCCTCCTGTGTCTGCCCCTGCACTGTCACTCATTCAACAGCCAGGCCAGCTGTGAATGGAGCTGACCTTTCCTATGGCTTGGAAAGTGCAAAGGACAAAAGACAAAGCTGGAGCTTGACTCCTTTGCCCAAACATAGGCATCTCCAGTCATCTGAGAAGTCCTAGGGTATCTGAGAGACATCTGCACGGGGTTGGGAGCTACAGCACACGATCTTCTGGAGACCTGAGGGTCAGCCTGGGCACTCAAGAGCATCTCAAGCGGCCTTAGGCACCTCAGGGTAGGCGGCTGAACCAGTCCCTGGAAATCTAGAAGAGAAGATGGATCAGGAGTTGTTGGTTGTGACTGCGGTTGTAGTCACCAGGTTGTGACTGCTGGTGCCTGAGTATTGTGGCTGGGTGCGAAGATGTCTCTGTTCTGTCAGCTCTTCTATCACCCAGTGACACCTCTCCCCCCTCCTCAAGAAGGGGAATTGGGAAAAGGAAAGGAGACCTCTGGGTTGAAATGCAAATAGATGTAATAAAATAATTATTGAAAAACCTAATATTAGTACTAATACTAATACTAATATAAATTACACAAACTTATACTCAGACCACGTAGTAGCCACGTAGCCCTGGCTTTTGGTCCTCGTATCTTTAGCATCTGGTGAACTTGAAGCTGCTCAAGACCTTGATCCCTGTGGAGAACCTCGTACCATCGCTGGCCACGAACTAAAACAAAGTGTCTTACCGACTCTGTTCTCACCAAATTGGGTCCTGCAGTTTTCTCAAAAATGCAGCTTTCTTGAACAGAAAACGGATTCTATGATTCTATCCCAGCAAAATCAGGACAGAAGCACACCTGTAACCATGGCATTCCAGAAGGACCGGGTTTGGGTAGTGGAGGAGAACCAGAGGGGAAGGGAGGCAGACACATAAAAGGGGTCAGAAGTCAATACAAGTGCCTGCCCAGTGCTGGCGTGGCATGGAGAACTGCTTTGGGTCAAATTCAGAATTGTAAGATTGTGAAGTGAAACAGTTAAAAATCCTTTGGACATGCAAAGTGTTGGTGAGCAGAAGGATGCCTCAGGACCAGTCCCACAGCATTCCGATGAGCATAGGTGTAAAAATGGCTGGGGACACTGCTGAAAATAAGGCAGTGCTCTCAATGTCTTGGCAGCCACAGATGTCTGACAGCAGGAAGGAGGGAGCAGCTTTTCCCTTCTGCTGGGCCAGCAATGGTAGGTACAGGCTCCTAGACCCACGTGTCCACTGAAAGGTCCACATCCACGTCTGCCCTGCAGCCAGAAGCAGTAACTACACCCCACTCCCAAAGAAAAGAGAGGCCACACCAGAGGCTACAAGCCCCTATGGAGACTCCTGGCTGACTCAGGACCAGAAGCAAAAAAGGAAAAGCCACAGACCTCACCAGAGGGAGCAGAACCACAGTCCCGGGTGCTTTCAGCAGTCAGTTAGGTGCAAAGCCAATTCCTTCTCAGACAATACGGGCAATTGTGGTCATTTCTGTAGATCTCTATATTTCAGTGACTTGATTTGAACGTCTTCAGCAGCCTTCTGATATTTGAGATCTGATACATGGGAGCACACAGAGAGACAAAAGCACTTCTACCTGTTCCCTACTAATGACAGTATTTACAGTACATCACACAGCGGTGTTCTTGTGGCCATCTGCTGCTCCTGTTCATCCACACTTCACCCTGCACTTGCATCTTAGGTCTGCCAATGTCTTTGTTCTGCATTGCGAGTAGGCACTAGCATCAGACAGGCAGGGCACACTACTGCTTCCCCTGGGTTTTTTGATTTTTCTTTGGAGCGGAGGATGTATAGTTCTCCAAAGAACACGGTGGGTTTCTCTCAAAGTCTTCTTTCTTGAGTTCCCAGTCTTCATCTCTCTGGTCTAAGGGCATTCCTTTCATTGCTGCTGTCCTGCGATAGTTTCTGCTCTCCACCTCTGCTCTGGAGAAGAAAGCAAGAGAGAATCTTCAGATGCTGAGCACAGTACGCTCACACCACCGTTCATGAGCAGCCCATCCACAGGAGCGGGGAACCGTGTATTTGT